CTCTCTCTCTCTCTCTCTCTCTCTCTCTTCCTCTTCCTCTCTGAAATCAATAAAAATATATTTTAAAAAATTTTAAAGAAATTAACTTTTATTCATTTAACTTTGAATTAAAAGCTAAAACAGCAAAGTATTCCAGACTAGAATTAAACAAGAACGAGGAAAATTTACATCTACAGGTTCAACAGGTGTATTAGAGAAATGATATTAAGATATATGACATATAAACAGATACATATATTTAAAACTAGAGGCCTGGTGCACGAAATTTGTGCACTCGAGGGGTGGGGAAGCGGTCCCTCAGCCTGGCCTGCACCCTCTCACAATCTGGGAGCCCTCAGGGGATGTCCAATCAGTAGGACATCCTTAACATTGCCGCAGAGGCAGGAGAGGCTCCTGCCACCGCCGCTGAGCTCGCCAGCTGTGAACCTGGCCTCTGGCTGAGCAGCACTCCCCTTGTGGGAGCGCACTGACCACCAGGGGGCAGCTCCTGCATTGAGTGTCTGCCCCCTGGTGGTCAGTGTGTGTAATAGCGACCAGTCGTTCTGCCTTTCGGTCAATTTGCATATTACCCTTTTATTATATAGGATAGGATGGTTAAACTGTATTCAAGCTATAAAATGTAGTGTTCCGATAAGGCTTTAGGGCCCCTTACCAACGCGCGCTGCCCGCCCGTGGCTCACCTCGGTGCCGACCTGCGTCCCTCCTGTGCGAGCACAGGAGGCGCCTCTGCTCCAGTGCCTTCAGGGCACACTCCCTGGAGAGGCCCTTCATCTTCTCACGGGTGTCGCTGGGTCCCGGCTTAGCTGTAGGGGAAATCAGTCATCCAGTCAGGAAGCACATCATTTTCTAACTGCTCACTATGCACACAAACTGCACTGTATGAAACATTTAAGACGCTCTGTGTTAAAAACAAAACACGCATTAAAGTAAGAGTAAACTCATTTTTATGTTTAACTAAATCAAGTTAGTGTGATGTCTCCTGGCAATGGAGATGCGTGTTACCTTTAAAACTTGTTGTCAAGCATCTAAAGTGAGTGTGCAGGAGAATGAGCTTCTACTGAAATGTAAGACCTAAAGGCTGGTGATGGGCGCCACGTGTCCTAACTCACTTCCATCTCGAGATGAGCACAAGTACAGCTCCATCTGGGATCAGGAAGCAGAAGTAACGAACCTGCCAAGTTCACATCACTCACAATGTATATACAGATAGTGCCAAGCTGCCTGATGCTAACGTATGTGTTCACACACACACAGTTCCTGGGCTTAAACTAGGTATGTTTAGAAAAACAAATAATGGCTTAATCTAAAGTATCAACAATACATAAGAGGGAAACGGTATGTTTCCATTTAGAATTTTAAAAAGCACTTAGTGTACTTCTTTGTTGATGGTAACTGTTAATTCTGAATCTTACCCTCCTTGATTATGGGTTACCTTTTTGGTTAAACATTACTTCACTAATATATTAAAAAGTTGCCCGGCTGGTGTGGCCAGTGGTTGAGCGTCAACCCATGAACCAGGAGGTCATGGTTCGATTCCCATGGGCTTAATCCCCAGTAGGGGGCATGCAGGAAGCAGCTGATGGCTAATTCTCTCTCCCTCTCCCTTCCTCTCTTTGAAATCAATTTTAAAAACAAAACAAAAATAGAGTGTAGGCCTGTGGACTGATGGGTCCCAGGTTTGATTCTTGTCAAGAGCACATACCTCGGTTGAAGGCCCCTGAATCCCCAGCCCTAGTTGGGGCTCGTGTGGGAAGCAACCAATCAATGTGTCTTTCTCACATCAATGTTTCCCTCTCTCTGTCTCTCCCCCTCCCTTCCACTCTCTCTTGAAAAAATATCCTCAGGTGAGGATTAACAACAAAAATTTTTTTTAAAAGTTGCTTACAAAGCATCCTGAACAGCCACCCAAGTAGAGTCAGGGTGTCCCTGAGCAGTGCTGCACACCGCACTGAGGTCTCACTCCGGACCTGTCACTGAACTCGGGTTGTGAAAATTAAAGTTGTGGGATGACAATAACAGGAGAGCTGAATAACAACGAGGATGAGAACAAACTCGACTGTAGCTCTGAACTGCCACTGCAGTCACTAATTGTAAATTTAATTCTGGCACGTGAGCCGAATGGTTAACTGTGTTTTTCCTCTCAAGCTGGTAATGGCCACCCTGAAGGAGAGGCCACAGTTTTGGTAACAGTCCAGACTGCCTCCAGCCTGCAAGGGCTGGGAGCCGTGGAGAAACTCGGGCCCTGGTCGGGTCCAACTGTCCCGATGAGGCCACACATCTCAGACGCGCATCAATGGAAAGACAGTTTTTCTGCTGCTTGTTACTGTCGCCTGGTCCCTGCCAGGAGTGAGTCAGGAAGTGAAGCGGGGCCAGCGTGTCTCCTCAGGGACTGTGAAGACCGCAATTGAAACACATACCTGCTCCTCGGCCACCGCTCGCCGGGATGTGGCTCCGACTGAAGGATGAAATGTCATCTGTTTGAAATTTCTGATTTTCTCTCTGTTTGTCCTGATCACCAAATCCATTCTCTTTGGAATTATCTGACTTATAAATCGAGGGCCTTTCAGATCCTTAAAAAGACAAGCACAAATGCATCATCCCTTTCTTCCTCCTACCAGAACAGATGTCTGAGTCATCCTTTCAGATGCTTTTAATACTGTAGACAATTACTAAAACTCAGAGGACTGACATTTTCCAAGGATTTCTAAGTGCCGTGAATGCACACAGACTCCCTCGGTGCTCTGGGCATTCCCGGTGGCTACCTCACCTTCAATCCCAATGCCTCCTGCTAGAAAGAGCTCGCAGCGGGCAGCCCCTCTGTGCCTGTGTGACCACTGTCGTGGGTGGCTCCCAGGGGGGCCTGTGAGGCCACTGGTCAGGAAACATGATAAAGATTAACTCAATGTATTAGAATCTTCCTGAACTCCATCTGAAACTAAATTTTTAAATTATCCTCAACCTTCATTTTATATTCAGTACTAGAGGCCCGGTGCACAAAATTTTTGAACTGGGGGAGTCCCTTCAGCCCAGCCTGCACCCTCTCACAGTCCGGGAGTCCTCAGGGGCCTAAGCCGTCAGACATCCTCAGCGCTCCCGCCACCGCCCGCCGCTGTGCTCGCCAGCCATGAGCCTGGCTTCTAGTTGAGCCGCACTCCCCTTGTGGGAGCACACTGACCACCAGAGGGCAGCTCCTACTGGTCATTCCACCATTCGGTCTATTTGCATATTAGCCTTTTATTACATAGGATATTAGTATTCCTAGTATGACTGTTAGAAAGAAAAACACTAAACTAAAAGGCAAAGAATTACCCATATTTTCCACCCCGGGTCTCTGATGTGGCCAGCTGACGACCTGCCTGAGCGCGTCTTCGGTGGAAACCGCCGTGCCGTCGGGGTTGGCGTAAAACAGCAGCAGGGGCTGGAAGTGGCACCGGAGGCACTTGGAGACCACGTCCTTCCATCTCGTTCCCACCTTTATAAAACCACAGGGAGCAAAACCAAGCCTGTCAGCAACCTGTTACCCGAAAAGGCAGGGGCTGAAATAATTTGCATATTAAAGATGTTTAACAACATTCAGATGCTAACCAGCCGTTCAACTGTGCGCTGTATTATATGATTAACTTTATTATATTTAATAAGTCTAATTAAAAATCTTTAAACATTAAAAAGTTGATGGGCAAAATTATACACTATCAAGATTTGGATTAGCGAATTTTAGAAAGCTTTTCTCACACACATGGTCAACTGCCTTTTGGCAACGATTAAAGGGAGTTTAATGGGGAAATATAAAAGTTGATACCACAAATGATGCTACAGCAATGGGAGGAAAAAGAAAAGAAGACACAACTACACCTGAAGCCCAATAATGAACTCAGGAGTCACGTAAAATCTCTCGAGTTTACAGAAGAAAATGAGAGAAAACATTAACCTCAGGGAAAGTAAAAATGTCTTACCAGGACATCAAACAAACCAAAGAAAAAATATAAAATTGGATTCCATGAAATGAATGAATAACTTCTGCTCCATGAAAAACACCATTAACAAAATGGAAAAAATAAAACAAAAACCCCACCTATATCTAATAAAGGAGGGCTGTGCCGGATACAGAACTCCTACAGCTCAGTAAGAAGAAAATAATCCAATTTGAAAAATGGGCAAATTATCTGAAGTGACATGTCACTAAAGAGACATAGGAATGGCCAGTAAGCACAGGAAGAGTTGTTCAAAACATTATTGTAAATCAAAGGGAAGTGAATGAAAACCACAGTGAGGCAACATTAGGGTCCCTGGAAGGCTAACGTAAGAGACTCCCAGCAGGGGGCACTACGCGGGAGGGCTGCTGGGAGGAGGGAGATGTGCAGTGTCTGTGGACAGCCATTGTCAGTTCACATACAGCTGACTGCACACTTAGCAGACCACCCAGACATCCCACCTGGTGCTGGGAGCAACGGAAAAACGTGTTCACACCAAGACTCTTCCTACCTTAACAGGACCACTGTTCTATACAGCTGTAGTATGGAACACCGCACGTGTGAATCCTAAAAGGCATGTGCTTGGCGAAGCAAGCCAGCCTCAGAGGGATGTGTACGGGGAAGGCCATCCCACAATGCTGAAGAGGGAGCAGAACTAATCTACAGAGCATCCGGGATTCCTGGGCGGGGTGGGAGGGGCCGACAGGAACATGACATCATGAGGGGGTGGGGTATGCTTTGTGCTATATGGTGTGGAGGTTACACAGATGTGTGTACAGTTGCCAAACACTTACATGGGTACATTTTAACGTTTGTAAATTACCTATATATATAAAAAGCCAGCGACCAGAACACTGTAATGACCCGAACGACCGGTTGCTATGACGCCCACTGAAGCCAGTGAACTGGCCGATCGGGGGGTGGGGCCAGTGGCCAACCTCCTGTGGCCCCTCCCCCCAGCTGGCTGCCCCCGATTGCCCCACCAACCCCGATTAGGGGCGGGGACAGCTGGCCAACCGCCTATGGTCCCTCCCCCTTGTCAGCCCCACCCCCAATAGGTCCCCACAACCCCAATCAGTCCACAACTCCTCCCCTAGCCAGCTCCACCCCCTACCAGCCCCCCACATTGATCAGGGGCAGGGCCGGCAGCCAACCTCCCGCAGCCCCTCCCCCAATCCACCCCCCCCACACACACCAATTGGGGGAGGGTCAGCTGGCCCACAGCCCCGCCCCACGGCCAACCAGCCCAGCCCTGATTGGGCCCCGATTGGGGCCGGGCTGGCCGGACCCCACCTGTGCACGAATTCGTGCATTGGGCCTCTAGTACCTCTATAACGCTGATTTAAAAACAAAACAAAACCAAACAAACAGGAACCGATGCGTTCTAGAATGTTGGCTTCTGCAGGAAAGGGAGGACTGTAAAAAAGTCTGAAGAATTCTTCAAACTACACGCTTAGCTGCTGACCCTCCTCGCCTGGGACGCTGACATACTCGAGGAACTAGATTAACTTGAAAGCAAAACAAATATAAACTCACAGCGTGACTGCACACCCATGTCCTCCTTTGAGCTTTGACAATTTAAATGATGTGGGTGCCAAGTAGGACGGCCAAAAGATCTACTCATGGACGCAGGTGAAGCCTCTTAATAAGCTGCTATAGCAAAGCCTGAAGAAATCCGAGCAAAAGCTGCTTTCAGAACATAAGCACCAGAATTTCCCGTTGGCTTTACTGAGCATAATCACATGAACTACAACCTCCCAGGCACACGGCAAGCCCACGCGTTCTGACGAGTGTGCACAGGCATGCAGCCTCACTCCTCGCTCCCTCTGCAGGGCCTTCCGTCACTGTTTCCTCCTGTCGGGGAATTTTGTGTCAGTGGAATCCGTATTTGGCCGTGTGTCTCGCTTCTGTCATCAGCACAATGGTTTAGGATGTTCTACACGTGTCAGCTCATTTCTGTCTGATGGGCATCAAGCTCCACTGTGCTTGGACCATGATGTGGTTATCTGCTCACCTGCTTATGGACATTCGGGGTCCCAGTGGGGTTACAGAAACAAAACTCCCACGGACACTCAAGGGCAGGCTGTGTATGGACACGTCCTCAGGGAGAGGCGCTGCTGGCTGCATGGTAAGATTACGTGTGCAAGAAGCTGACGCACCTCTCTAAGGTGGCTGCTCCATGCAGCACTGCCACGCGCTGGCTTCAGGGACCTGGGTACTTGACGCCCTCAATGCTCCTGGTGAGGTCGGCACTGCCACACACCTGTGTCAGGGACCTGGCTGCTTGCTGCCCTCCACGCTCTTGGTGAGGTTGGCACTGCCACACACCTGTGTCAGGGATCTGGCTGCTTGATGCCCTCCAGGCTCCCGGTGAGGTCGGCACTACCATGTGCCTGCGTCAGGGACCTGGCTGCTTGACGCCCTCCACGCTCTTGGTGAGGTCGGCACTACCATGTGCCTGCGTCAGGGACCTGGCTGCTTGATGCCCTCCAGGCTCCCGGTGAGGTTGGCACTACCATGTGCCTGCGTCAGGGACCTGGCTGCTTGACGCCCTCCACGTTCCTGGTGAGGTCGGCACTGCATGCTCCTGCATCAGGGACCTGGCTGCTTGACGCCCTCCACGCTCCCGGTGAGGTCGGGCTTTGGAATTTATCCTCCTAACAGCTGAGTCTGAACCTCACTGTGAACTGAGTGTGTTTCTTTATGCCCAATCAGGCCGAGTATCAGTGTAAGGGCTGTTCACCTGTCTCCTCTGGTGAACTGTCCAAAGCTTTTGTGTATCAGACAGAAGGATGGTGCATATGGATCCCTGGTAGCTACACTAACATTTATTTGTCGCCTTTTTATTATTCTAGATATGGAATCAGCTTCAAAACAAACCTGATTTCAAAAACTAATAAAAGGATTCCAAGAACTGTCATTAAAATCATTTATTATTTTATATAAGCATTTACATCTAATAATCATTCTATATAATTACTAGAGGCCTGGTGCACGAATTCATGCATGGGTGGGGTCCCTTGGCCGGGAGGCGGGGAGGGACAGCGGGAGGTTGGCCGGCCATGGGAGATTGGCTGTAGGAGTGCACTGACCCCCAGGATACAGCTCCTGCATTGAGCGCCTGCCCCCTGGTGGTCAGTACGTGTCATAGCGACCGGTTGTTCGGTCACTTAGGCTTTTATAAATATAGATACATTCATTTTATCACTGTCACTATTACATTAATATTAGAGGCCCTAGCACAAAATTTGTGCAAGAGTAGGCCTTCCTTCCCCCGGCTGCCGGCACCAGCTTTCCTCCAGCTGCCAGCAGGCACCCGGGACCCGGGCTTCCCTCGCAGCCCCGGCTTTGTCCAGAAGGTTGTCCGGAAGGCTATCTGGTCTAATTAGCATATTATGCTTTTATTATTATAGGTCATTATTACATCATTTATTCCTAAAGAGCATAAACCACAGTAAGCATCCCAGTTCACAGAAGTGTCACCTACCTCTTTCACATTTGCGTCATCGAAAAACACCCACTTGGAACTCTTGGTGTGAAATGTGAAGGCACAGTAGTGCCGGCTGGTGTAGCAGATCAGACCGACGAGGTGAAGTTCACTGTTTTTGGCATTTTCATCAGTAACCCTATAAAAAAGCTGTTTGGAAAATTAGTAATTTAGGACTGTATCCTTAAAAGTGAAGAGCAGTGATGTGCTATCATGTATCTGACTCCCCATGAACAGCATCTGTCGGGCGTGCTGTCCACCCAGCGCTGCCCGGTGTGACGATACCGCGGCCCTGCGCGCTCCCCCAGTCACACTTCCATCACCCGTCAGGAGCAGTACAGGAAGTCACTGACTTTAGCTCAGTAATACGGTGTCTCCAACAGAAATGACACGTTACATCTACAGACTCAAAATATGAAATAAATCACCCATTTTCTGATAGTTCTTGGTTGAATCACATATTTGAACACACATTAAACTTGTCCCTTAAAAGATAATTTTCTAAAAGTTTCATTGTAACATCAACCAATTCAAAATAGTTAACTAAGATGGTAAAAGCATATAAGCCAGCAGTTCATATTTACACTTATGATCACATCACCATCACTCTAGAGCAGTGGTTCTCAACCTTCCTAATGCCAGTTCCTCATGTTGTGGTGACCCCCATTCATTACATTATTTTCGTTGCTACTTCATCACTGTAATTTTGCTACTGTTATGAATTGTAATGTAAATATCTGATATGCAGGATGTATTTTCATTGTTACAAATTGAACATAATTAAAGCACAGTGATTAATCACAAAGACAATATGTAATTATCTATGTGTTTTCCGATGGTCTTAGGCAAACCCTGTAAAAAGGTCGTTCGACCCCCAAAGGGGTCGCGACCCACAGGTTGAGAACCGCTGCTCTGGCGTGACAAGAGCCGCAGCAGGAGACGGTGAGAAGCGAAAGCCCCTCCCGGCCTGGGCTCTGAGGAAGTCCAGTTAGCCTGACTGGGGCAGCTCCAGAGAGTTCCACTGAACCTCCTTCCCTGAGAAAGAACACTTAGTTCTGAAAACCGGCCGCTGCATGTGTGTCCGAGAGAAGGGAGAAGGAAAGGCAAAACTAAAAGGGAGAAGGAAAGGCGGGATACCCCGGGGAGAGAGAGGTGCGTGGCCAGACTCCGAACCACGTCGCTGGTCAGGTCCGAGTGCTCGGAGTCCCAGACCAGGCCGATGGTGACGATCTCCGGGCAGTTCATCAGGACGCGGCGGATCTTTATTTTCTGGCCACAGTTACTCTAAAGAAAAACACAAAAGGCAAGTTTAGGAATTACTGAAACAGACATACCACAGGTGGCGCCTTATATAGTTTGCATGATGCAGTCACACTCTTAACATGCATTGCAAATTTATTCTTTAGCATATTAAAATAAACTTCTCACAAACTATTTCTCTTAATTATTGACTAAACAAGAAGTTTATTTTAAATCAAAGTGCTTTTCTTCAGTATTTTTGTAAATATGTTAAAACAAGAATTCAGTCTAAAAAAATCCGAAATAGAACCCCTGAAATGATTAATAATAGTACATCAGAAAAGAATACCATTTGTAAAGTTCAAAGAAAAAAAAAGAAATTGTGTCTTTAGTGAAATGATTGATTTCTGAACTTAAAAAAAAAATTTACATATGCTACCTTAAATCCTTCCAATTTTGAGTGTTTAAAGAACTAGTACTGAGATAAACAGCTCGCATGGTATAGTTGCCTAAAATAACATTGCAAAAACAAATTCTTAAAAGTAATTCCATAGACAATTAAATGACATAGTAACTTCTGGATGTCTCCTGTAAGCGCACACACAGAAACCACTGAGAGCCCCAAACTGTGCTTACGGGGCACTTGCGATAGTCATCCGTGGTATTCGCCGCTTGCAACAACTCCGCAAACATTTCGGGCCTCACACGCTCATGCCTGTCCGTCATTCTTCCAACTTCATTGCTACAAAAGAAAGCAGCAGTCCCAAATCTGGCCTATGTATGAAATTACGTATGAAAAATACTAAGTTATCAATATATGCAGGATCACTTTTTCTGTCTTAAAACATGATTTTGTATAAAAAAATTAACCATAAATTTCCATAAAGTGAAAACCATGAAATGTGGCAGGTACGTGATAAAAAATCAGGTCAAGAATGGAAAAGCACAAAAAGTACAGCACTGTTTGGAACTACAAGAATGAGGTGAGATGCTCTCTGTCTAAAGGCAGCTGTAAGTCAAATATCTGTTTTACATTATGACTTGGATTATGACAGCAGTTACTGAGGATGTGAGTACAGACTCGGACCTAACAGGCTGCGGGCAGGCTCCCTCTCTGGCCCAAGGCTCCCAGGGGCAGCTCCTTTCCAGCTGAGAGCAGGCTGCCCACTGGGAAGGCCAGCCAGAGCCACGCCCCCCTCGGGCACGCTCGCCATGTCATCAGGGCCGCAGGTGCCTGCCACTTTCTATTCAGCCTCCCCTGGAGTACCTTTTACATACACGCATCAAGTGTCTTTAGGCAAGTATTTAAGCATTTCCAAGAGACTGCAATGTGGCTCAAGTACCCTTCCTCTCCATTCCAGACACCCTGGCTCTATTTAATGTGTGTCCCAGGGCAGGACATACTGACAGGTCAGCGGTAAACAGCACACAATACTCAGCCACAGCTAAAGCACCCTCCTTCTCACGCACCTCACCGTGCACAGAGAGCACGAATGCTGACAGTGCATCAGACCCGGCTGTGGGGGGAGTGGACAACCAAATACTGAATCGGAAATGAAAACCACCTGGCTTTCCATCTTAATTGGTCTATGTATCAGATCAACCTTATTAAACCTGTTTCCTCATCAACGAAAGAGTGTTGTTGTCAAGATTAAAGTGACAATTTATGGAAAGCCTGGAACACAGTAAGCATTCAATACGTGATCTTCAATCCTCAATGCCCACAAAGGAGACTATCAGAATTCAGTCTGGGCTCTTGCGACCTGGGGCGCGGGCCAGGGCGCACGGACGGAGCGCTAGTTTGTACGACCTCGGCGACTGCTCAGGGACACGTGCGCACAGGAGCTGCCAAGCGAAGGCTTACCGCCCTCCCTCTGTGCGGCTCCCCTGTTCCAAACCACCCTACGCTTCATGCAAAGAGAACAAACCAGCTGCAAATGACTCAAGTTCAGGGAATGTTTCTCTAAATCGACGTCCCCCCAACTCTGTACAGACAAGCAAGATGCTAAACACACACAAGTAACCCAGTTGCTATTGCCCAACAGCGTTTAGGAACGGCTGTGCTGCACCCAGAGGAGGAGGCCTAACGGGGCGGGTAGACGAGGAGCGCCGCCTCACTGCAGGAGGAGACTCTGCGGCCTGAATAACCAGCGACGGATCTGAGGTCAGCGACCCCCTTTGGCTTCTGCACTAAAACACCTGCAGCATCTGTGACCTTAGTCAGTGTTTGCACACACACAGCACATAGCATTCTCTCCTCTGCCTGCTGGGAGTGTTCAAGGGATGGTGGTTGTGTGAGGTCTGGGGATACTTCTGGGTCCCTAACTAGTACTGCTTCCTGGGCAGGCAGAGCGGAGCAGGCGGGCAAGCCAGGCAAATTCCTATCCCAGGTGATGGTGAGGCCTTCCGGCCGCAGACCTATCGAGGATTGTGTTCACTGTTTCCTTTCTTTCCTGCTTACCCCGCTTCCATCACCATGGGGGCACACGCGGGGCTTACAGGGGACACGGCCACTACAAAGGTCACACCTGCCGAAGTCAGGGAGTCAGTCATGTGCAGCTCCCTCACCACTCGCTTGTCGTTTTTTAAAAATATAATTTTGTTGATTTTTAGAGAGAGAGGAAGGAGTAGAGAGAGAAACATCTATGTGAAAGCAGATCAGCAATCCGCTGCCTCCTGCACGCCCACCATGGGGAATCGAGCCCACACATGTGCCCTGCCCAGGAATCGAACCAGCACCCTCTCAGGGCATGGGACAACACCCAACCACTGAGCCACACGGCCAGGCTGCTGGTCATTTCCAGCCCTCCTGCGCAGTTCCAAAGACTTGCTCTAGATGTGAACAGGCATGCATCTGACTCATGTTTTGCACATTTCACTAAGTGGTGGGTGCATCTGGCTAACTCAGAAACACCCGACTGAGACAGACACCACTGAGTACCTCCGATGGCCGCAGCCCGAGTCCCAGACAGAGAGCAGATACTCACGGGTGCGGTGGGCTTACAAAGTAAATGCTCGCTGGGCCGCGCTGTGCTAGTAAAGCTTTGGTGAAGGTGCTTTCCGGTTCTTACCACAGGGCTGTCGTCGAAATGTACCGCACGAATTCTGTGAAAGGCAGAGGGTCTGATGAGGCCCCACAGCTACAACACACGCACTGCGGCAGAAACAGACGCTTAATGCACGGTTCGTGGAACACAAACAGCATCTAAGGAGCGAGGTCGGAGCCTCACCTGCTCGTACAGCGTCATGGCGAACTTCTGGTGCGCGACGCAGCACTTGGAGGTGCACATGTCTGCGTCCCGGCTGGGCACGATGTGGAAGTGGATCCTCTCCAAGATATTTTCCTGGTTCAAAAGCAGAAGACACGTGAGTGGTGAATCTGGCAGAGACACTTCCCTTTATAACCTCACAGACTTAAGCCTTTTACGGTTTCCCAGGCTGGACTAGGACTGCCCTACTTATTGCCAGCTTTCCTGCTAATGACACCTCGAATGTTGGTCAACTGTTCACCACCTGTGGCGTCAGCTTAAGACAATCAAATAAAAAGAAACATTCATTTCATAAATTTAACGAAAAAAACAATGTATGGTTTAATAAAGATTTTAAAAATCAAGTTATGGTAGCTGACATCTAGGACTTAATACCAGAGAACAGTTTCCTATGTTTCCTGTTAATTAAGAAACACAATTCTACGTGGCTCACGTGGACAGTCCACGTAACTCACGTCCACGGGATGGTCCATGCAATGATAACACCTGCAACTCACCACGCAGGGGTGTGCTCCCCACAGGCTCATGGGACAGCTCAGGTCTAACATCACCAAGGCACTTACTTCATTCAACAAATCACCCTCTTTTCTCAAAGCGTAAATAATGGATCCCTTCAACCACCTTGAAAACAGTTATCAAGCCTGGACTGCTAGGTCTCCATGAGCTGTCGTATCATGTGTTAGTACCTGTCAGTGAAGTGAACTATAGATCTCAGTACTGTGCCCAGTGTTTAGAGCATGGACCGATGATGAAGGTGAGAACCGTAAAAGCCCATGTCATGCTGTGTGTGCTGCTCTGGGCGTTTAGTCAACGTGGCACGTGTGCTGAGCAGCCCTCCAGGCAAGGAGCTGAGAAGATGCGCTCTAAAGACAACAACAGAAACCCAGGGCACTACAGGGGTGGTGACCTTGCCATGTCCAGCAGGCCCGACTGAGGCCACGCCTGGACAACTGAATACATCAGACGCTGTGAGTATTTCGGGGCCCTGAGCAAAGGCTGCGAAAGGGGACTATGACCACTCACTAGCAGGGACAGTCCAGGGGACGCAGAGCGAGGGCCTGCAGTTCAACTGAAGGGCCTTACGTGTCAGGAGAGAGTCTAGACTCGAGTCACAGAAGTATCAGGAGAGCAAGCATTAGACAGAAGAAAATGGTATTAACCAGGGCCATTAAAAAAAAGACTGTAAGGCCCTCGCTGGTGTGGCTCAGTGGATAGAGCGTCAGCCTGCAGACGGAAGGGTCCCGGGATCATTTCTAGCCAAGGGCACATGCCAGGGTTGTGGGCTCGATCTCCAGTAGGGGGCATGCAGGAGGCAGCCGATCAATGATTCTCTCTCATCTGATGTTTCTATCTCTCTCTCCCTCTCCCTTCCTCTCTGAAATCAATAAAAATATATTTTTAAATAATCAGACTGTAAGGGGCCAGACTGAAAGGCCACTAGACAGGAGGCGTCACTGGAGCCTGTGGCAGGAAGGGGGGACAGGAAAACGTGAGAAAGGAGAACCC